TATTTTCACTTAAAAAGTCAAAGTAGCACCAAATTTTACAATATAGGCAAACAAAAAATACAATCTCAAAATACATTTTAAACCAAACAATAAAATAACATAAAAAAGGAAAAACATGTTATACATTTAAGTACTACCAAAAGCGAATGTTCACTTACCATGATTTTCGAGTTCTTCGTACACCCAGAGCCATGTAAAAATCAAAATACCAGTCATACTCAAATGACTTTTTCAAACCAGGTACTTTTTCTAATCAAATGCTTAACATAGTGACCATCTAAACTTTTTTACCTACAAACCCATCTAAACTGTTTTTACGTTCGACTAGACTCTTATCCTTCTTATATACAGGACACCTGTAATGGCTACTAAGTAAACCTTCATTGACACACCAGTCAATTAAAGCTCTTTTCCTCCCTCTAAATTGAACAGAAACTTTATATTAATCTTACTACATTCGGCCATTTTACCGTCTAAAGAATCAAACAACACACCACAAAAACGCTTAACATCCCATGATTCAAAATTTCCCAGAATCATACACCCGATTACGTCACAATAGGGTTTACATAACATTCAACTACTCAGACTACCATAAATGAAACAACTTGGCGATAAATCAAACAACTTTGCCATAATACAAGGGGTAGTCTACATTCTATACTATTAAACATGAACATGAGTAACACATCTGAGAAATCTAGATATAAATCTTATTCAAGGATTTGAATATATAATCAAGAATTGTTTACTTGCTTTTTGTGAAAAAAGAAACTTTTGCTCATGTTTTGGATAATGGTTTAGATTTTTTAGTCCCATATCGCACACGCATTTGTTTCGCCCGAACAACTGTTTCGGGCAATTTTTTTCTGCCTGATTATCTGAGTATCCCTAATAACATAAGTTAGTCATAAGATAAACTCTAGTAATCTGTTGATGTATTCAAGGTGTATACTTTTCAGTGAAAATAACAAAATCTGCAATAGTTTGTATAGAAGACTGACATGGAGATTTATTAAGATATAATTTAGGTAAATTGATTTTGTGTCTTAAATAAAAATAAAGTTAAAAGGATTGCTCGATATGTGAAAATTCTCAAATGCATACCTAGTAAGTGCAAAACTAATTTATTTTCCCACTTGTGAGAAAATATTTGCAGTTCAGGAGCATGTCCCTGAGCTTTAAGTTAAAAGCTGCACTTGGGGCAGTAATCATCCTTAAAAAAATCTTGTAAAGAAGGGGGACCTGCAACGTAGTTGCCCTAAAAATCTATAAAACATAAGTTGCTGTTTTGCCAAATCATGTACATGCATTAGGCAATATTCTAATTTTTGTTAAGTATGCATGAATGTGGTAGTCAATTATATTTTGCTTCTGTTTTTAAAGGTTTAAAAATAATTTGGAGAATTTATGTAGAGCTAGGCAGAATTGTAACTGAATAGAATTTTATTTTGTATTTGGGAACTAGGTTTTCAATAGCTATTAACTCAAAGGTTTTGCAGACATGAGCAATTTCATGCGAATTTTCAGATTAATTCTCTGTACAAAATGTAATCAGTATTCTAAGAAAATTTTATGTAAGTGCAGTACAAAGTCCATACCCTCAAACCACTGGGATTAAAAAGAAATATCCTACCTTTTCCCACTGAATTTAGGAATTGAGAGTATAACAAAAAATAAGCAAGTGTGCTAGAAAAAGTTTTTTTTTTTTCCCTGAACAGATTTCTGCATGTCACTTTATTGGCCTGGAAGTTGTGCTATAGCTAGTGACAATACATTGACATTATATACCGGTTATCATAAATTAAGGAAAATCACAAAAATAATGATAACTCCTTCAAAATAAGCCAAACCATGTAAAATTTGAATATGCTGCCAAGTAAGAGTAGCCGAGTAAACTGCAATATGCTTTTGGAATACGTCATCTGCGAGGAGCATAAAAGTCGCATGTCTGAGAGCAAGCCCACATATTTTACTGTGACATTAGAAATCTGAGATAGCCAATTCATAACAATGACCTCCAGGCATCATTTGCCTGCAGAACTGCGATGGAAAGCCATTGGGAGACAAGCAGGACAAACAGAAGTGGCTAGGTGGTTAAATGCAAGTCCTTCTGTGGTTCTATGAACCACAGATTCGGCTTGTAGGAGGTGCCAAGGATGGCCAACTGCTACGAGTGCCGATGACCGACATGTGCACGCAGGAATAGAACCGCTACTCCGACTCTTCTTGGATCCTCTCTTGCTGCAGCCACTGGAAGGTTCATGCCAACGTCAACTGTGCGTAGAAGGCTTCATAAAGGTTGTATGCGAGGTGACCAGCCATTTGTGTGCCGCTCACGTCACACCATAGGAGGGACCGTTTTCAGTGGGCATGACAACATCCACTGGATGCCTGATCAATGGAGGATGTTTCTCTTTATGGATGAGTCCAGGTTTAGTCTAGAAAGCGATAGTAGACGTTATTTGATATGGAGAGACCTAGAATCCATTATCATCCGTCAAACATTCGTGAAAGAAATGCATACGGAAGGAGCAGTGTCTGTGTTTGGGGTGGCATCTCTTTGGATGGACGCACAGACCTCTGTCTTTCCAAGGGGGACGGTTAATGCTCAGATTTATAGAGATGACATCCTTGATGTTTATGTGCGCCCATATGCCAGGACAATAGGTGATGCTTTCCTGTTACAGGACGACAACGCAAGACCACACAGTTCTCGTATCGTAGATGATTATCTTCAACAGGAAACAATTATGCGCATAGTGGCCAACTCGATCCCCGGACTTCAATCCTATCAAGCAGGTTTGGGATGCTTTAGGAAGACATCTAGCTGCTCTCAATCCGCCCCCTCACACCTTTGTTGCACTTGCAACTGCTTTGCAAGAGCAATGGCTCTCGCTTCCTATGGAACCGATAGACCGCATAATTGAAAGCATCACACATTGCTGTATGTTCTGTATTGCTTCTAGAGGCGATCGTATTTCATATTGAAGGTACTTTTCCTATAGCAAACTGATACCTTTGATTTGTTTATTTTATACATGTGCTGATTTCTATACTATCATATTTGTCTGGAAATTTCTTATACAGTCAAAAGTCTTTAATCCGGGCTCGTCGGGAGTTCGGCGATAGGAACTATAAGCTGAAGAAAATAAAAACATCTGCGCAGAAGATAAGGATAGTGCTGGCAGATCAACTACCAATTCATTGTGCTCCCCTCCCCCCAGAGCAGCGTGAAATCGATAAACAGATTTCGGAATGGTTAGAGAAACAAAGGATATGCCTTTATCCATTTTTTGCAGCAATTTCACTTTTTGTTTGATGGACATCGAAACATACTTTCGCTTTGTAGATCCTTTGGCAGCTCCAGCATTGGAAATTCTATTTGACATAATCGAAAGTTCACGCCTACTTTTATAAAATTGCTCTAACAGTCTGCAAAAAATAAGCCGGATCCAATTCGAAGATTAAGGAACTATGCAATCTGCAACATTAACTGAAATAGATAATTTTAGCTTATACCGTCCATTGTACATTAAATGCGCATGCATAAACGCTTATGCGAATGCTTGAACGCTTAATGTGTTGACGCATACGCAGAAAGTCTGTAGCTTTGAGGTCCGGATCATTCCGGATTATGGGTGTCTGGATTAACGACTTTTGACTGTATTTGATACCTTACTATGTGTTGTATATTGTGGATAAGTTTCATTAAATTTTACATGTAACTTTTCAGTAATCGTGATTTTTCCTTAATATATGATAACCAGTATATTTATCCTGCCGGCGATCACACTTTCAGCCTGTGGGGGTTAGCGTATTTTCTCCTAAACAATAAGTGTCACTTCTACCTGTCATCATTTTACAAGATTTAAATTTGATTCGGAATTTCTGAAGTCCTAATGATTCTCCTCCCTCATACCTGATTTTTCAGACTTCTCTGTATTTTTCGAAGATGAAATGTTTCTTGGTTAGTTATGGAATTTCTTATTGTAAGGCATCTAAAGTACTTTTTTTTTTTTTTGGCTGTGTTTATTATATATGTCAGGCTCGGTATTCTAAATAATTATAGCTTTTCTTGTAATGAAGCTGAAGTTTTAAGTATCTTAATGAATTGCCATATATATATCTGACATAAATTACTGGAATTACTGACATTGAGCTTAAAAAAAACTTAACCCAGGTTAAAAAAAAATAGTGTCTAAGATATTTCAGACGTTTCATATAAGAGTTTTTCATATTAGCTGATCAAGAAACTTAACAAAATTGCCAGTTAACAAGAATTTGAGGATACATAATGTAGCAATTATATATTGTGCACATATGAGGGATAATTTTTGCTTTGTATTTCGTCTTGTAATCAAAAATTGTAAAAACATGTTTTTAATGCATACTGCCATACGAACAAATAGCTATATATATAATAGCAAAAAATTGATAGTCAGCATTTAAATGTTGCTGTTATAATTTTATCCTGTTTATATAACTGGTCATTTTAGCATTGAATTAGTGGTCTGTACTTGTCATATTTCATATGGTATATGAACAATTGACTAACAAAAGTATGTTTCAGATTTTTAAAACCCGAATTTCGGCTCCCTTTGCTTGATGCAGCAGTATATGTAAATCCCCCCTTTTTAGTGAAGGTTACCCGAGTTTTGTCTTTGAAATTAATTCTGATAGTGGTTCACTAACAAAATTTGATAATATAGGTGTATGCTGCACATTCTTAGTCATTGCATATGCTGTCCTTTTGGCTGCTGATGCAGAAGTTAATATACCAATTTGATATTTTTTAGTTGGCAGTAATAAAAATTTGAAGTAATCTGTACTTCCTTCTGGACTTATTATTGCTAAACAAGGGAGAAGCTATTTAAATTAATACCTAGTAAAAGCTGCCAAAATTTTATTAGAGTTCTTGCATTTTAATATTGTTATTTATGAAATTCACTGCTTCATAGTGGAATCATTTTGTTTGAAATAATTTAATTATATTTCAGGTGAATCTTTGCCAGAGACATTCATGACACTGATATGAAGACTTCTTAGTTGGATGTGTGTGATGGTGAACCTGGCATTTTTTTTCCTTGGACTTTCCACCCGTTTGGAATTTTAAATACGAGACTCCGTTACTTTTTACAAGGCTTGTAATTAACATCTCTTGAAGTTTAATAAAGAGTTCTCATGAATGTTTTATTACATATTTTGAAGATATGATGTAATCTATTTCTATAATATATATTTCACTGAAGCTTGCAGAAAATATGTGGTCAGTCTAACCTTAACATCCCATAAAACAAAGTATGTTTGACAAGAAAATAATATATTTCATTAGTCTTGCCAGTTTGTTTTGGACATTGTACTGTAAAATTTTGGTATTTTTCAGTGAGGGCTGGATACAAAAGAATATTTTGTTTTTGACTTTTAAAATACCAGACATTTGACTGTTGGCAATCATTCTGTTTTTTTGGAATAATAGGCAAATCTGCTAAATATGCCATCATTAAGGGTGAAATAAGCGAAATGATATGTTAAGGAATTATTTTCTTAAAAATCTGATATTTCATTGATAATAGTGTATCATAAGGATTCCAAGTTTTGTAATAAGTCTTACTGAAATTATTCATTGGAACAATTTTGGCATTTTCTTTGGAATTGTTTTTACCCCCTGCTTTATTGGTTGCAGTGAAATTAAGATGTGTGTCTGAGAGTCAAAGAAATTGGTATTTTCCTCATAAAAAGTACTTAAACTCTGCAGAGTAGTATTCAGATGTAGTTCTAAAATAATGATCCAGCTTCTTTGTAAACTAGTAGCAAGAAGTGTTAAAATATGAAGTTTAATGTTGAATGAAGGCAGAGAATTATGATGCGATTACCCAAGTATATGTAATATTTATATATAAAATGCTTTTGCCATTTATTTTAAATGTAGTTTCAAAATTTTTACAAAAAGACTTGAGTATCATTTATTGTAAAAGAAAATTGTCTTCTGTGAAATGTAATAATCTTAACTTTAACTATATATCTTAATTTTATTAATCTTGAAAAATATTCAGTAAACATTGATTTCAAAGAAAAGAAAGCTGTTATTCATATTTAAGTAAATGTTTCTTGTAATAAAATATTGGTATAGCTCTAAATTGTTTGCATAAGAAATAAATATGTACACATAAGGTAGTTTCTAAATTCAGCGTTTAGTAGACCAGGAATGTTAAGTAAAGACAGCAAGTCTTTCTTAAAATTCAACATATTACATGAAGATGAAACTTATATTGGAGAAAAGAAAGATCGAAATAAATTATACTCCTATGTAGTGCTTGCATTCTTATTTAAGATATTCGGAACTGAAGAGGAAAGGATGACACTCAGAAAGCTGCAAATGAAAAGTGTGTTGTAGTTTGGTCAGAATAATCCTACTCAGTTTGTTTTTTGTGGAATTTTGTTTATTAAGCAAGTTAACAGCACAGGATAAGATTGAACAGCATGCAAATGCATAAATAAGTTTTAATCCAAATTTAATTTTGTAGAATTGTTTTGAAATATAGTGTGTAGAGAGAATTAAATGATTTGAAATCACCATCTATATAATCATATTTTTATAATTATTTCGTCTTTTTCTTGGCTGGCTTGTTTATGTGTAAAGTAGTCTTAAAGCGTAAATTTGATTATTCTCTGTATGTTATATTACACATATAAATTAAATGAAAAGTTTATCCAATCAAATTTATTTGTTCCAAATTTCAATTTAATGGCTTATAGAGAAAGTTGCATTCACTGCAAAGGATTAAAATGAAGTAATTTTTCTGTAAAAAGAAAAGGTAAACACTGTTTTTATGGAAAAAAATGTAAATATGTTTTCGATTTGTAGTTGCATACTGAAATGATGTCAATTTTTATCTTATTTTTAAACAATTTTGAATTAACCCCTTGGGTACATTTGATGACATCATGTACTTGTTTTGCTTAAGTTATGGATAGTGAATCTCAATCGTCATTCAAACTAGGACAAAATTAAACATGTACATTTCGGTACATGTTTAATTTTGTCTTGTTCTTGTTCATGGCAAAAGTGATTTGTTTGAGTTATAAGAGCAATTTTCTCTGGTGAATGTTGTGGAAAGTCAACAGAAGAATTTTTTTCAAATAAATCTGTACCCTAAGTACCTTAATATTAATATGCTTGTAACTAAAACATAACTGTATTAAAGTTTATATGCCCTGTGAATAACAGCTTCCATTTACATTCATTCTGTAAAAAGTTTTCTTAGGAAATGAGGCTATAATTCTTTAGATATGTCTTTACATGAAATATATAAAATATTCAAGGGATGATAGAAAAATTTAAGTTTTCTGGTAATTCTAGTAATTTTTCCAAGCATTTAGTGATTAAATTCATTACTCTTCTTTTTATTTATTTTTCTTATTGACACTATTATCTTAACAATTATCATTTGAAGATTGTTGGTCTTTGATGCTGCCAAATTAATATGTAAATTTTATTGCCGTCCATTTCATATTTTTGAATTGTTTCATGCAACGAGGTAATTTATTAGACATGTAGATATATCGTTACATGAAGGGTTACTAGTTTCTATGTAGAGAGCACATTTTAAAACTAGAATTGAAAGCAACTATAAAATGATTCATGATTAAATAAAAGAAAAAATGTTTCAAAAAGCTAACGATGTACCGAAATTCGCTGAGTTTATAAAAAAGGTCTTTGTGTTGTTGTGAGCAAGCATCAAATTTTTGACCACTCATCTGTGACTATCGTTCTGGGTAAAAATGATGGAACAAGTAGAAGTTACTTCCAACAGTAATTTAATATTCAGTAAACGAATACTCTGTGTTTGACGTATTTGATATCGACATACCTACAGAGCTTGTTATACATGAAATAGCAAAGATTCTTAATAATTGAGAATTTGAATTTGTAAAAATTGTACTTTATCTAGGTTCCTATTGCTTACGGTCTTATATACAGTTGAAGCATATGTTATAGAATATACAATAATTAACTACTACTACCTCATCTATAAATTTTGGCTTATGTTTTTGTTCTTTTTTGCTGAATGCCAACAATGAATCTTATTAAGAAATATATCCTTTAGTTTTTTGGGGGGGAGGTAAATGTGTAGAATGCAGTGTTTTCTGCTTGTATTGTTGTGTATGTTAGCAATGCTAATTTAAGGCTACATTTTAACTAAATAGTTGTTTCATTCATATGGATGATTTGAAAGGCGTCCAAAAACTTTTTGTTTGCAATTCTTTACGTTTTCTGGTATTTGCATCAGAGCATTACTTCTGATTTGAAACAATGTTTCAGGCATCAAAAAGATTTGAGAGAAAGGACCTGTATGTCACGGAAGAAATTGGTGCAACATTATCTCAAAAGATCAGTCACAGTAATAAAACTGAAAGAAATTATTTTGCAGAGTAAGCAGCAGTTGGACGATCTATAGTTAGTTACAAAATTTTTTGGTAATGACTGTTAGTGAACGGAGACGAAAACAAAACATGAAGATAGGCAAAAACAAATATGATGAATGGGAAAAGAAAGCGCAAACTGGAATTGGTCCAGATTCATGCGAAACAGCCGTTGGCAGTTGAGTCTCAAAACTCTTGTTACTATCTCCGGATCTAAAAAAAAATTTAATTTATTAAAATTGTAGATTAGACAATTTCATTGTGACATTTAAAGACTTGCTACCCTTTTGGAGTAAATCTGAAATTAAATTTCAGTACTTTATTCAAGCTACTGTAATTGTATCCAGCCTACAAGAAGTTGTAGAAGTCCTGCCAACAGGAGCTAATTACACCAAGGCAGTTGTGATAGTTTCAAAACTCTGTTTGAAAGGGATGAACGTTTAGTAGATGTTTTATATTAAAGTTGATAGTTTCATTAATAAAAACATGAAAAAATTTCAGTGACATTTCTGTATGATAAACTCAAAACATATTTTAGAAGCACAGGGAGTGACTACTGTTGAATGTGCTTTGATACTTTTTATCCTATGGTTGAATCTTGTTTTCAAGAAGAGTTCCTAAAAGCATGGAACAGAAGTGCTTTTTCCACAACCTCAACTTATACTGACTCATATTAGTCAACTTAAACTAAAGAATAGTTGACTAATATGATGTCCTTTTTTTATGCTGAGACTGAAGGGAAGAAAGAATAAATTTAGCTATGTTTGGTGTGGTTTATGTTAAAGTGAAAATAGTCAATCTTTTAAGAAAAGAGAGAGTATTTGACAACAGGAAGTACCTACAGCTTCAAAGTATGTGAAGAAAGCATCGGACTGTTTTTCTGCTCGAAAGATGAGTTTAGCTTAGAAGCAGAATATTTTAAGGTAATGCTGCTTTGCTTGCCTGATAGCTGGACATCCAGTTCATAAGTGCAAAGTGTTTCTGAAATGTGTAGTATGTGGTAAACGTGCCACTTATGTGTGATACTCTATGCTTAGTATAAGAAATCGAGCAAGAGTTATTAAAGGGGTCGAGTTCTGAAAAAGTGTATACATTCTTTATTTAGAAGAACTGATGCTGAAAAATCTGAACACGCATGTTATATAATCAGAATAAGGTATCCACAAAATGGCAACTTGTAACGTGGAAGCTTTGGGGCAGCCCACTATATGTGATATTAGACTTGTTAGTTCAGGTCCATGGATCAAAAAGCTTCAAGAAATGAAGATATTGATATAACTTTTATGTGGATAATTTCTTGAATAGCGTCAGAAACATCAAAAATTTGTAAACAGAAGATTACCTTTTTTTTTTTGCTCTAATTTTTAAAGTCCTAAAAATGGTTACTTTTTTCAACAACTTTTCCAATTTCCAAGTGAAGAAGAGTACGAAATAAAGGTAGACAAAAATATTAAAAAAAAAAAAAAAAAAAAATTTTCGTTGGGAGGGGCATATCTTATATTACCACACCATGTCCTGTGTCGCTTCTGCACTGAGTATTTGTATGGATAAGAAATAAAGACGTGTATGTATACATTATGAAATATTCTTCATTAATAAACATAGTTGCAGATATATATATAATAAAGCTGATAAAAATATCTTGTTGATTTTCAAATAGTTTTTAATGCAGGTTCATATTCTGTATTCATTAGTTTAATGTGTTTCTAAATTTTTTTAGATTTTAGAAAATTTGTCAAGTAAAACAATTTTTACATTAATATGTGAAAAATTGCT